TCCAGCACCTAGTACACTGTGCCTAGCACACATAGTAAATGCCCAAAAAATATTTGCTGAAAGAAACAAATGAAATTATGAACTTGTTCTTCTGTACTAAATTAAGCATAAGTTTTAAAACGATCTTCAGCATCCCACATTATTAAGAACCAAAGAACTCTAGATCTGCATTGTGGAATCTTGGTCATTACCTAGTGTCTAGCCCAGTGATGGCGAACCTATGACACACGTGTCAGAGGTGACACGCGAACTCATTTTTTTGGTTGATTTTTCTTTGTTAAATGGCATTTAAATATATAAAATAAAGATCAAAAATATGTCTTTGTTTTACTATGGTTGCAAATATCAAAAAATTTCTATATGTGACACGGCACCAGAGTTAAGTTAGGGTTTTTCAAAATGCTGACACGGCGAGCTCAGAAGGTTCGCCATCACTGGTCTAGCCCTTCATTTTATAGATAACGAAAACTGATGTAGAAACAGTGTGAGGCAGTAGCAACAGCATAAAATTTGGTATCAAAGAACCTGAAATCCAAGTGAAAGCCTGTGTGCAAGCAACTTAGCCTCTCTAAATTTTCAATTTCCTCATGAGGATATCTTCTACCTCACGGTGATGGTTAAGGACGACTAAGGATAAAACAAAATAACATTTGGAAAACGTACAAAGTGCTACTATGAAAGTGTCATTTATCACTAGGTTATTTTAACCTGTCCCAAGTCACAAGAGCTAGTTAATGGCACAATTAGAATAAGAGTTCAAGTTTCCTAACGCCTAGTCCAATGCATCTTGTGTCATGAAACTAGGCTTCCGATTCCCCTATTCAGGGCCAACTTATTCTGTCATCTAGTTCAAGGTTTCTTACTTAACCTTGTATGGTTGGGGATCACTTCTAGAATTTGATGAAAGCAATAGTTGCTCTCCTCCAGCAAAGTGCATATATATATACACCAACATAAAACACCCAAAGCCCATCTACAGGCCCCATTACTCACTGATATAGTAATGTACCCTCAGCAATTTTTATTTATTTTCATAAATAAGTCATGCCTTGGTGGTATTAACTAAGAGGCTGGATCCAAGGAAACACCAAGAGTAGAATTCAGGAATCTGAATTAAAGGTACTGCCCCCAGATCATCATGCTGATTAGGTGAGGACTTTAATTAACCACATACAATCACAACCAGAAAGGAGCTACAAAGAAGGCAATAGTTTCAGTACTCAAAAGCAGGAAGCTCAGGGAAAAAAGCGTTAGACAGGACTAGTAGATTCTTTTTATCATGCTGCTATACTATATAGAAAGCATTCAGATAATTTTACATGAGTATTTTCAAATAGTCACCTAAAGACATCAAGGTTTCTTCTTTAGAGAAAACATGCAGAAATGTTTGTGATGAAATTTCTGCTCTCAACCCCACACCCATCATGATTAACTCCAGACCAGATTATCTAAAATGATTCTATCTTCCTCTACTTTACTTTGATCAAGTAACATACTATATTCACTGTAAAAATAATTTGGCTAGGAAAAAGAACAATCAGTATGAAATCTTTGGGGAGATCAATACCAACTACTGAATGCAGTGTCATTAATCCACTGTTGTCCAGATATACCTCAACAGCCTCATCTGAAAAATAAAAAGAACACCCAATCTATGGTGCAAATACATTGTGAGAATATTTGATAATCTGTTAATGTGTTAACAATTAATAGCTGTTATTCCTGAGTGGTGGGACCCAATGTTAACAGTTAACAGCTTTTATCTTTGAGTGGTGGGATTATGGTGAATTTAATTCTCTTACCTATAATTTGCTTTAATTTTTAAGTTTTACATAATGCTTATGTATTATTTTTAAAACCAGAAATTATGAACTTAAAGCATTACCTAACTAGGGTTAAGGAATGTCCAGCCCATGGGCCATATGAGGCCTGAGAACTCATTTGGTCTGGCCCTGCCAAGACATTAGGGGTGAGTTAATTAAATGTTTGACCAAATATAGCAGGGTAATTTTTAAGTTGATAATTTTGTATGGGCTGCAAGTGATGTTATAAATATCTAAATGGCCCTTGGGAGAAAGAAGGTTCCCCACTCCTGATCTATACATTCAGATTTTTTATCTGATGTTTAAGAACACCAATTTGGGGGGTGGGCTACAACATATAAGGCCTTATATCCCCAAAATAAGAATCAAGTATATTGACTCTTCTGAAGAAATCCTGTACTTTCAAGGTGGAGAGAGAACAAAGATGTGGTCTTTTTTACATGCAAAAATAATATCTGTGCTTTGGGGACCAGTTCTATAAGTAGGAGGTCTTGACCTTTGGCAGAATTGCATCATGAATCTTTTCAACCCTTCACTCTCTAAAAGATTGCTTCACTTTAAAAAAGAAGCCACGTCCTTGAGGATTCTGCTTCCTAAATTTTCTATAAATCCATGGATTCAGCTTGGTGGTCCAGGGTAAAATGAGATTTTTCCCACAGGTGAAAACTGGCTGCCTAAAATCTGATATCCAACTTCTATGACTTGGTATTATTCATCAATTTTATCTTTTAAGATTGCCATAAATTAAGATTGTAGAGCCTTTTTAGCTGGCCTAACAAGATACAACTCAGCATTAGAATTGTTTGGGGATTTTTTTAAAGGGTCTTCCACTGCATCATAAACTCTAACCACGGAATTGTTTCTCAAACTGTCAGGACAATAAACTATTTGATTAAAACATCACCTAAGCAAAATAAAAATAAATTTACTTATACTTAAGAGAATAAAAACTGATATTGTTTCTTATGAACTCTGCACTGTCACTGAGTTGAATTTATTAGAAGCCTAAAATAAATTTAAAAATTTTTAATTTCTGATAACTACTGAAAATTTTAAGTTAAATTTTACATTAAGCAGTTCAAAACACACTTTACATGAGAAATGAGAATTATACAAGAACTGCAGAGTAAAAATATCACTAACACTTGTTATCCATCTACTGAACATCTCCAAATAAAAATATGAATTGTTACCAAAATGGAGTCCAAATATTCATTCCTATGGCATGTATTTCAAATAGCATACACTTTACCAACAAAAAAGTGTCACTGCCCAGAAAGTCATCTCAAATAGCTCCATTACTCACCTGTAACTGATTTTTTCATTTGTTATACATACAAATTTGACCTCTTTGATCAGCTTACATTTCCTCTAGGAATTAAACTAGCTAATACTTAGAAATCACAAATTTATTTCTTAGAGCATAAGACAAGTAATTTATAGAATACTCTAGATATTTGTAACAACTTAAGGCAAAATTAGTTACCTCTACTTTGCCATCAACAAACTGGGAATACATAGATTTTGAAAGATGAGCTTTTCCACAGTGCTTTTACAACAGGTCCCTTGAATCACCTCAGTTTCATTACCTGGGGCTGGAGGCAAGTTTACCAGCACCCAAGATGGCATCGTTGCAGGCAACACCTCCCACAACAGCCACCATTTTGAGGATCAGGATATAAACTACTCACGATTTTATGCCAACTAAAAGAAAGCACAGGATTACCAGAATAATTGTTAAATATCTTGACTTTTAGCATTCCCCAACCTTTCATTTCTGTGGCCCTGTTTCTCCTCTTCAGTCAATATAAACAGTTGTCCCACTAAAATTTTTAGTAAAAAGCATGCTTTCTACAATTACGTTCAAACTTTGAAAATAAACACTATGGTGCTACCTAAAATACCCAAGTTATTATATCTTCCTAACATTTTAATTACATTATTTTAATCAGTTTAAGGAACTAAGAATCGCCAAAAGCCAGTGAATGGTCCTAGTTTATTAGCCTACATTCCTCTTCATTCTTCCACCCAACCCTTTTTGATCTTTTTATTTCCCGATTTCATTAACTCTGCAACAAGAGCAAGTTCCCACACTTCATTCATATGAGAAGCAACTGATATCTGCGCAAACAAAGAATCTAAAACTAAAGATAAGACAAAAATCTTAGGAGTAAACTAATTAAAATCAACCCGAAAACGGCAGAAAGTAAGATAGGTGGGGGTGGGGAGGCAACAACCACTATTTGCTCCTCCAAACGGGTGATTCTTATTTTGATTCCTCCACCGGCGAATTCAATGGCAGAACTGAAAAGAAAAACTGACCAAGTTTCCACTTATCTTTCTCCAAAGGCAAAAGGTGATTAAGTCACTACGCACATTGCTACAGAAGAGCAAGCAATTCAACCTGCCAACCAATCAAATATTTCACACCCTCTTCCAAAAATACTAAAAGAAAGGAGGATGCCGGTGGGCTAGCTGCCCGTCTCGGCGACACTGTACCTCCCGTTCCTCACACTCCCGCCACCAGCCCTGCTGCTGCGACCCCTGGTCTGCGTGCGGCTCTCACAAAGCGTCGGTGTGAAAACACCTTCGGCCTGACCGGAGCCATCCTCCTCCTCCACGATCGCCCGTTGAGATAATGGCGAAATCGACTCCAAGAGCTCTCGAGGTCACCGCATAAAGAGGGCCGTCAGTGCCGAGGGGAAAGGCGCTATTAAAAAATAGCGGAGTCCTAAACTTTCCCTCCGCAGCGCCGCAGCTCCGAGCCGGGCCCCAGTCCCCGCCGCCCCGAGTTAGCCCAAGGCGCCCCCGAGGTGGGGGCGAGCCTAGCCCGGCACCCCATCCCGCCACAGCAGCTGGCTCGCCGCTTCCCCCGACCCCAGAGGGAGCTCCTGAAGCCAGAGGAGAGCGGCGGTCCCACTCCCACAAAAGCGAGTTCCCCCCGCCCTACCGCCGCCCGTCCGCCTCGCCTCGCCGGAGCAGGCGCGGTGCGCGCGGCGGCCGCCGGCAACGTCCCGAGCCCAGACTCCTGCCTCCGGCCAGTCCGCGCCGCACGCCCCCGCCGAGCCCTCTGCTGGGGGCCGACGCCTGGCCGCGTCTCAGGCGCCGCTCCCTCCCGCGTGGAATTCCGGGCGCCCCGCCGGGAAGGGTAAAGGGGCGCCGAGCGCGGCCACTCACCTCGATCTCGAAGTCGGGCAGGCGGAACGCCGTGCGAAAGAGCGAGCAGAAGTGCGCTATGGCCGGGACTTCCCACCAGGAGCGGAGCTCGCCCAGCCCGGCCGCACCGCCTTCCTCTGGGCACATCTCCCGACGGTGGCGGCGGGAGCGCCGGCCCCGTGCTCGACGCGCTCTTTGCGGCCCCACGCTGCCCGCCCGCCCGCCGGGACTCCGGCCTCAGCTCCTCGGGCGGGGGCGGGGACGGCTGCTTCTCCCGCTGCTGCCGCCGCTCGGCGGGTGCATGAGCTGAGGGCCGACGAGCGCGCGGGGGGCGGTGGCTCGGACTCAGTCACTGAGGCGGCGGCTGCTCCCGCTGTCCGCGGGTTCCGCGCCCTCGCCCCATCCCGCGGCTGTAGCTGCGGCTGCGGCTGTGGCTGTGGCCGCCCCGAGCCCGGTACAATGTAATCATCTCAGCCAGCAGAAACAGATGGGGCTGGGGGCGGGGAGAGGGCCGAGCGAGGGCCGGGGGAGGGGCCGCCACGAGGAGGGGGCGGGGCTGCTCCACCACAACAACAACCCCGCCCCCACCCCCGGCCCCGGACAGCTGCACGGGAAGAGAGGGGGAGGGGAGAGGGAACTGAGCGCCCCAAGAAAGAATTGTATGTAGAAGGGAGCGAGGTGCACCCTATGAGCTGCTCTGAGATGCACTCCGCTTCTCAGGTGTCTGGGGCTGAGGAGTTTAATGACTTTGATGAATAAGGACAATAAGGGTCTCTCTCCCACCCCCAACTTGGCCTTAGTGGTTAACATTCTTTTAAAGGGCCCGCTGGATGGTTCTTTCTGAGGCTAGAATACGCTAGACCCAGAAAGACGCACGTGGGAGGTCAGATGTTATTGGTGCTGATGGTAGTACAGGAGAACCAGTGGACTGTGCTCAGCAGATATCTAAGTCCTAGAGAAATTAAGTGGTTTCCACGTGTTATTTAACACTTTTATTCCATCTAAGAAGCTCCTTATGCGAAGGAGCTGGCTTTCTCCAAGGGAAGGTGGATGGCTGGTGAAGCTGGAACTCAATAGGATGGAGGCAGCAGGAAGGGTTGGGTAGGGCAGGCACCAATCAGCAGAGGTGTGGAAAGAGCGACCCCCTCCCATCACCCCCGGAAACGGACATGTAAGACCGCCCTAAAGAAGACAAGCTTAAAAAAAAAAAAAAAAAAAAAGACGCGCTTGGAGTCCTACAACTACCCTGGCTGCAGAAAAGCTGCCTTCATAGTGTAATGAGAAAGGTGGTGGGTGGGAAAAGGGAGATAATCTGAGGAGTGTGTTGTGTTGGGGGTGGAGACCTGCACGCCTTAGGCTAAGAGAAGACTCTAGAACAGTGGTTCTCAACCTTCCTAATGCCGGGACCCTTTAATACAGTTCCTCATGTTGTGGTGACCCCTAACCATAAAATTATTTTCGTTGCTACTTCATAACTGTAATGTTGCTACTGTTATGAATCGTAATATAAATATCTGATATGCAGGATGTATTTTCATTGTTACAAATTGAACATAATTAAAGCATAGTGATTAATTACAAAAACAATATATAATTATGTATATGTTTTCCGATGGTCTTAATTGACCCCTGTGAAAGGGTTGTTCGACCCCCCAAAGGAGTCGCGACCCACAGGTTTAGAACCGCTGCTCTAGAAGGACATTGAGGCCTCCGCTTGAGAAATGTTTCATTCTACAGTATGTTAGAATTCTAAGCTTGAAGTGGGGAAAATCACCTCCAAAACTGACCAGAAATTTGGAAAAACTACAATGAATGCCCAGGTATTTGTACCGATCACTGCAATTTCGTATTTATTGCATTCTACTCAAGTCTCAAAGGGGCTTAGCTGGCTGGTTTCTGTATTCCACCTCTCAGACAGGAAGCACTGCCCCTGATGCTGCTCCCAAATTAATCAAGTACTTATTGAGTGACAGGTACAATCACAAAGTGTATAGTGATGAAACCGAAGATCCTCTTCTACCTTTGAGCAGTGTAAAGTCTGGAGAGAATGGCAAACGTATTGAACATTATGTGATAGATTTTGGAGTCTGGGTACTTCTCTCTCACCTCTCCCTCTCTTTATTCTGGTAGTTTTAATAACTTGTTTTGTTTTTATAAGGCAGCATTTAAAAATAACACATCCAACTTCTTAAAGAAAATGTATATCTCAGTGTATCTTTTATGAATCAACTATTCTCAAAATACTTCATCTTCTAATATTCCCCCACCCTCACCCCACCTCTGTGTAGAAACAGCCCCAAGGTTTGCAGTTTTGCTGTTTTATTACCTGGAACTATTAATTATTTAAAATTCATCCTCAAATTCTACCATATATTTTAATCTTTGACAAAAGTTGGCATACATCTAAAGAGCAGAGGGTATATTTTGGTGTGTTTCTAAAGCACAGCTACTATGTAGATATTCTATTAATAGATGAGATGTAAAAGGGTGACAAGCCACTGTGGAATTAATCACATAACCTGAATTGGATGTTTTTCCCTGTTTTTCTTCATTTCCTCCCATATCGGTTTGACCTTCCACAACACTTGCCTCTCTTTTATTAAAGGGTTACTGCTTTCCTTTAACAGTTGTTTTGAATCCATTATATCCTGACTGTTCTTTCCTCACCTTCTTTTTCCTGGTTCTCCTCCGTCTTTTCATTCTTGCCTTTATCTTTTATCATTGTTTAACCTTTTTTACCTGGCCTCTTCTCACTAGCCAGCTTGGTGTCACTAGCCAGCTTCGTAAGAGTGCCTAGAGAACGTTAACAATACTAGAAAGCATGTTTTGGTTACTCTAGTATGTTTGAATGCTGGTTATATTCCTCCCACCTCCACTTGAAGGAAGGCTACTCTGTTGTCCTCTTCCCTCCTCCACAATCCTGTAAATCACCGATTTTCAATCTTTTTCATCTCATGGCACATATAATTACTAAAATTCTGCGGAAACCAAGAAATATGGTTTTTTGCCAATGTGACCAAAAAAAGATTTAATTTTGATTTATTTACAATAATAATAATAATAATTACCTACCCTTTTTGCTCCAAAGTGACTTTAAAAAATCAGGTGTCTAGCCCTGGCTGGTTTGGCTTAGTGGATAGAGCATTAGCCTGTGGACCTAAGCGTCCTGGGTTAGATTTCGGTCAAGGGCATGTACCTCAGTTGCAGGCTCCTCCCTAGCCCGGGCCCTGGTCGGGGTGCATGCAGGAGGCAACCAGTCTATGTGTTTCACATCGATGTTTCTCTCTGTCTCTCCCTCTTTCTTCCACTCTCTCTTAAAATCAATGGAAAAAGTGTCCTCTGGTGAGGATTAAAAAAATCCAAAAAAAAAACCAAAATCAGGTGTCTATACTTAAGTATAAGGATTTGTGGTACCAAGAATTAACCAATCATATGCAACCTTATTATGTGATGTGACCAATAAGATGCAACTCTATTATATGACCTACATATTTATGGTTCAAGACAGGGCATTCACACCAGACAGCTATCGTTGTGTTGGCTGTTGTCATTTTCTTTGACAATCTAAGGGAAAACAGGTCAGTGCCTATGTAGTCAGGTATAGTATGTTTTAAGAATTCTTGTGGCACACCAGTGTGTCCCTGTACTGCTGTAAATCAACAAATCTGTCTTGGAACTGGAGGTGCCCCCCTGGTGGTGGTCACAGACTTCTCCCTGTCTCTTCCTGTGTACCTTCTTCCCCTGTGAGTGATTTGCCTTCTAACTTTTTCTTCTAAGGGCCACTTCTCAGTGTTCATATGGATAGATACATCAACTTTAGACTTCTTTCTTTCTATACATCCTCTAACTCTGGTTCAGTTTCTATAGTTTTTGCTTGGTTTCCTCACTATGCTCTCCACTCACCCCAGCTTTCACCCACAGTCTGGAACCAATCCTGGTCCGAGCAGCTAATGACTGTTACATGTCTTGGGTCTGGCTGAAAGTGAGGCCTCCATGTTCCCTGAGTTTGGGTTCTAACTAGAATCTCACATTTTGACCCCTGCCGCTGCCTCTATTGGAACTGATACCCTGAAGCTTTGACCTTGCATTGAACATTTGTTCCACCTTTCCCTTAAGACTTAATAGCCTCAGATCTATTTTCTGACTGTGTTTCTGGCCTTATCTCCTGGAACCTAGATTGCTGACCCCAATACCTAGATCAGTGATGGCAAACCTATGACACGCGTGTCAGAGGTGACACGCCAACTCATTTTTTGGTTGATTTTTCTTTGTTAAATGGCATTTAAATATATAAAATAAATATCAAAAATATAAGTCTTTGTTTTACTATGGTTGCAAATATCAAAAAATTTCTATATGTGACACGGCACCAGAGTTAAGTTAGGGTTTTTCAAAATGCAGACACACCGAGCTCAAAAGGTTCACCATCACTGACCTAGATGTTAGACACTCGTCCCTTCCCCATTCCTTTCTTCCTTTAATTCAGCGGTTCTCAACCTATGGGTCGCAACCTCTTTGGCGGTTGAATGACCCTTTCACAGGGGTCGTCTAAGACCATCCTGCATATCAGATATTTACATTATGATTCATAACAGTAGCAACATTACAGTTATGAAGTAGCAACGAAAATAATTTTATGGTTGGGTCACAACATGAGGAACTGTATTTAAAGGGCCAGAAGGTTGAGAACCACTGCTAATTCAAACTGGTATCTCACTCCTACCTTTTTCCAGCCTGCCAATTTTTTCATCCTGTAAACATTAGTTGTATAATATTCCTTAAAAACATACACAGCTCTTCCTTTTTTCCCTTTCTCTCTCTTGCTTCTTTTCTGTTTGTGGGCTACTGCCACTGAAGGTGCCACGAAGCAGTTCTCCCTTTCTGGACCTGGGAGTCCATGCCAGCCACAACAGACTGAAAGGTTGGGCACAAGTAACCGAAGAATAAGGACATCTACCTAAGGCTGTTGATCAAGCTGTACAGGTTTATGACCGTATGAACCAATTCCATCTTCAACCAAGTGGTGCTGAAGAAGTTATTCATAAGTAGCATCAACCAGTCACCTGTGTTTCTTCCCCTGATGATCCGAAGGATGAAGCTTCCTGGCCAGGAGGGCAAAACCACTGTGGTTGTAGGGGTGATAACCCAGGATATGCATGTACAGGAGGTGCTCAAACTGAAGGTGTGCGCACAGTGTGTGAGCAGCCCTGGGAACCCACTCTTCAACTCCAGGGGCAAGGTCCTCACCTTGGATGAGCTAGCCCTAGACTCCCTCCAAGACTGTGGCACCGTCATGCTCTCTGGTTCTCCAGTGCCAGGAGATGTACAGTAGGTCCTCGGGTTACGTCAGAGATCCGTTCCTACGGCATGACATAATGCGATTTTCACCATAAGTTGGAACCCACCTACATAAGCACCTAGTCACTCACATGGAGCACATACACAGCAGTAATGAAGTAAAACAGTAAAAAA